AAAGAACTTTACATTCAGTTTTTCATACTCTGTCACATCGGTCATGAGAAATAAACCAGTTTTTCTTTTTTAAAATCTATGGATGTTTAGAAAAAGTTCTTTTTAACGTTAGCTTTTCTTTTTACTGATAATAGAGTTAACTTTTCTCAGATAAAATTAATATAAAAATTAGTTCTAGAAAATTTCATTATTCTAATTTTATGAAATCAAGTAGTTAATAAACGATTTGACGTATCTTTATATAAATTATTTTTGATAATTTAAGCATGGGATAGTACAAGTCCGACAGCATCAACACCATTATCTGCACCTGATTCACCAGCAACACATCTAACAACATCTGGTTATAATTTTAATCCATCTATATGTGTTAGTGAAACAATTTATTCTAGTAAGTTTTTCTAGAATAATTCTAACTCTAGATATTCAATATAAAAAAAAACAAAAATTTATTTATAAATCGAATAAAATATTTCAATTTTAAGAATGAAATTTTCATTCATATTATAGCATGCATTCTTATTTTTCCTTTAGCTCAAAATGATCCGGATAGTTGGGTCGTTATTGAGACGACTAATAAAACTCCAACAGGTAGGGGAATAATAATGGAAATTATATGGTGTCGGAAAGAAAATTTCTTTGTTTTTTTTCTATATTGTCCATATGTTTTTCGTTAAAAAAAAAGATCTGCATGCATTTATTAAGTTTTTTATGTATTTAAATATTATGAATTAATTCTATTAATTAATTTCTATGTTTTTAGAAATTCCTGGATCACAATCAGATAGTGATACAAAGTAAATAAATATAATGTTTTTTTGTTTTTATTTAGTTTATATTATTTAGTTCAACAATTCATACAGATACAGGAACAAATACAACTGATTCAACCGTAACAACACATAGTAAATTAATACGACAAATATCACAAGTAAAAAAGAATTTTTATATTCATTAGAAATTAATTTTTAATCTTAGAGTGAACCGACAAATCCTAGACGTGAAGAACTTGCTAAATTAAAACTTTTTGATATTAATTCATTTGATGATGATGAACCTGATCCAGATAAACGAATTAAGAATGTAAGTTATGTTTTCAAGATACATATGTAAACTACGCTCTCACCGCCAATGACTACAAATATTTTTAAAATATTTCAATCATCAACCCTCTAGCAGTTCAAATGTGCCGCCGGCAAAACATAATAATACCTAAAGATTCTAAGCCGAAGGATCAAACAACGGCGACAGTTTTAATAGTCAAATTTTTTTTCTATAGCGGTAGTGCCTACTAGACTTCATGTTTTTCTACGCCGGCGGCGGCTTTGACAACCAAAAAAAACAAACGTTTGTCCTTCTAAAAGGCGAAAAAATCGCCGATCGCATATCTATCGATGTCAACAGCGGCGCCTTATACTATTATTAAAAATTTTCATTCGTAGCGGCGGCGGCGCAGGGCCTGAACTAACTTTTCACAGCGCCGGCGCCGGCGGAGGGGCTGAACTAAGTTTTCACGGCAACGGCGCCGGTGACTCAGCTGTACGGCTTACATCTCTAATAATACTTCCATTTTTCATTTCAATATTTGACAGAACTTAGAAAATCACATCAAAAACTTCAGCCGCAGCCCAACTCTAAGACTTTCATGCACGTCGCTACTCTGAAATTCTAAGACTTTTGAAGTTATCACTACTGATTAATATGTCGGCTAATATTTCTACTTAAGAATATCGAGTTTATAAAATTCAATCGAAAAATAGATTTCAGTTGATTATAATTAAATACAATAATATTATTTTTAGCTTGCATCATCATTACAAGATTGGGTTATTGGATTTAATAATATTAAAATGATTGAAGAAGTACGACGTTCATCTGGTACACTAATGAAGTAAGAATATTAAGATTTATATGAAAGAAAAAAAAAATATATTTTGTGCTTTATTCTTTTTTTTTTCTAGAGCTCATTGGCATGGTGAAATAGCTGTACGAATAATAAAACCTGATTCAAAAATGAATGAAATACAATTTCTTGATCTATTTAAAAATCAAGTTTGTTAACATTCTAAATTTTTTTACATTTAAACAAATATATATATATATTTAAAATTTTTATAGGTATTTCGATTACGAAAAGTTCGACATGAACATTTAAATTTATATACAGGTGTTTGTAGTATGTATTGAATTCATTTTATTTTATTTTTATAATTATAAAATTTTCTTTAGTTGAAAGTCCAAATCTTGCAATTGTTTCAAAGTATATTGTTTCTTGATATTTTAAAATCAAAAAAAATATATATATATTTCTAGTTGGATTCGTGGTTTAAATCTATTTGAAATGATTCATATTCGTAATGATTCAATTCCACTTAATACAGCTGTACAATATGCTGCTCAAATAGCTCAAGCCATGAGTTATTTACATGAAAAATCAATAAATCATATGTCATTACGAACAACAAATATATTTGTACAAAATAATCGTATTATTATAACTGATTATGGTTTAATACCATTAAGTAAATGTTTTCGTATAACAAATCAACCAGCTATTATTGCACCACGTGGATGGCTTAGTTATTTAGCACCAGAAATCATACGTAAACTTGATCCACGTAATGAACAAACACTTTTACAACATACACCACAAACAGATGTTTATGCATTTGGGTAAAAAGAAAATTTTTTCTTTTTTTTGTAATATTTATTAGAGATTGATTTTTTGTTTGTTTTTTTTTAGTACTGTTTGGTATGAACTTTTATTTCGTGAATTTCCATTTGCTAAACAACCACCAGAATATATTATTTGGAGAGCAGGAAATTCACTCAAACAACCATTAAGTAGTGTACATATTAGTAAATATGCGAAAGTAAGTATTAATGAATTTGATTAAATAAAATAAAATTTAAAAGAGAGATAAATAATTCTTATTATTTGTAATAAGTCTAAATATTTATTTCTTTAAATTAATTTAATGATTGATTCTCGAAGTAACTTTTCTAATTCGAAAATCGAACAGAATTGATAATTTTATGTTTTTTTGTTGTCATTATAATGTTAAATCGTATAATCACTTTTTAATTGTTGAATGCCTTTTAACTAAGACAAAATTTAAAAAGATTTGAATCGATTGTCTACTGATGAAGAATTGAGTCTGTTTTAAAAACTTGATGCAACAAGTTTGAATCCGAAATTTTCTCTATAGGCAAAGTTCATAGTTAGTAGATAGTATTAAACATTTCTACGAAAACAAACATATTTTTCTAGACATGATAGTTTTCGTTAAAACTCACACAACTATCTAATCCACTAGAAATGGAATGTTAACCTACAAACTTTTTGATTTAGATTTTTCAAAAATATTTTACTCTGTCAATAGAGATATATAATAAAAATGAACATAGTTCTTCATCAGTAGATCAATCGATCCATGAATTGCATTACTGATAGTTTAATAGAATGACAAATCAACTATGTAATCAAGAACAGCAACATATTGAAATTTTTTATCAATTTTACTATCTATATATATAATGTTCAGTGCGTGCGTGTCAGTGCCGGGTCAAAGGTCAAATAAGACTATAAGGAGAAGGCCCAGGGACTGTTATAATGGGGACCCATAGGCTCTCAAGGGCTATTATATAGGGTATCCTTAGGTTCTCAAGAGCTATTATACGGGGTACCTATAAGTCCTCAACAGCCACTATATGGGGGTAGCCACAGGTCCTCAAGACCTATTATATAGGTGTACTTACAGGTCCTCAAGGGCTATTATATGGTACATCTGTAGGATATGAAGAGCTATAATATGGGGGTAGCCATAGGTTCTCAATGGACTACGGCAATAAGGGAATAAGGCTGAAGGCTACATGGACTATAAAAATATGTGCAATATCAGAGTATGAGACCGTAGGGCTACCTCTCTATATACATAATATCGAGTGTCTGTATGTCTGTTCCTGAATGAAAAGTTAAACGTCTTAGATCATACGTTAAAGGAGAAAACAGTCGTGTAGTATGCACGGGCTCTCGCTAGTTAAAAATAATGTTTGAGTCTTCACAGATCGTTACTTTTCATATTCCCATACCTTACCCACAAGTTATAATACTGTATTACATAACTCAACTCGTATTTTTTCTTAAGAACATATGTATTCATGAAAAATTTTTATTTTTTTCATAGGATATAATTAATCAATGTTGGTCGTTTGTACCAGATGATCGACCTGATTTTGCAATGTTATGTAAATCATTAAGTAAAATGCCAGGTAAACGAACATTAGTACGATCTCCATCAACTCCTCTTCAATATAATACTCGACCACATATTGAAGCACAATTCTAATGGGAAAAATCAAATTCTCAATACATACATATATATATATATAACCATTTGATTTGCATTCCTTTATTAGAAACAGGGATTTTTAATTTAATTATGAAATTCACATCGTCGAACTTGTACATTATATTTTTTAGTTGTGTGCAATAAAAAAAAAAAACAAAAAAAAAAAAAAGAATAAAATTCATTTAATAAAAAAAATAAAAACTATTACAAAAATTTTCTCTCAATTCTTATCGTTTGTTTTCTTGTTGAGCTGATAAATATTGTCGTTTTGAATATCTTTTTTTCTCTTGTTGTGAATAACAAGTGACAGTTTCCTCCCACCCTCATTAGTTGTTTTTATGTTTACACTATATTTGAGATAAACAAATAAGAAAAAAAAAAAAGAAACAATGAACCATTCTTCCTTAATGTTTTTTTTTTTTTCTTTCTTGTTCTTCAATAATTGTTATTTATATGAATGTATTTAATGAGTAAAACTCATATTTCTTCTGATCTTTGCGTAAAAATCAAATAATATTTTATGTATCTTGTTTTGTTTTCGTGTTTATATATGTATCTTCCACTCTTATTATTTATTTCAACAATATAAGATCAATGTGATCATTTTAGTAATCAAATATTTTTTTTGTTTTCTATCAATCAGAAATATTATTGATTAAAAAAAAGAGATAATTGTGGATAGATAGAAGAATTCATAGATGTATTTTGTTCATTAGATGTTTGTTGATAATGAGAAGATGATAAATTAATTGAATTTGTTAATATTTCATCATCATCATCATCTGGATGAAAAACATATTCAAATAGAAATTCTTTAAAACGTTTTGCATAAAAATCTGCTTCAACAATTGAACGTTCATTAATAACATCACGATTTTCAACTGTTTGATATTGTCGTTGCATTACTTTACAAATATCAAATCTATATGAATTATTTAGTATTATTAATAATAAAATAAATAATACATCAATATTATACTTACGTTTGTAATATATCAATAATACCCAGAAAAAGAAGAAGACGTTCACCTTTTTCATTTATTGCTGGAATACCTCTAAAATATTTTTACAACAATTATTATTCGAATCTTGTATAGTTACATAGATTTTCTTAATTTTTGTAATTATTTATCTTAGATTTTCCAAAAATGACTTATTTTTCAAATTATAATAATGATGAAAAGATTTGTTGAAGTTGTCATTTAAAAATTTATTGTATCAGGAAAACCTATACGAATATATTAGACTTGTCACTAACGAGGGAAGGATCCCAACTGTCCAATCGCTTTTGAGCCGAGACTATGTACATTATGTAGATCCAAATGAGTTATGAATACCCTGAAAAAAGTTCGGGCCGCTAGCCTATTGCTACGGAGATAGTGTATTTTTACAGTATTCTTTAAAAATGAATGCCGTGGTCCCCCTCAGGGACACCAGAAAATCTGATTTTTGAATTTCGATTTGAAACTTTGGATAGAGATAGACCTTAATCAGAATAGTTTATTCTGAATATTTCTAAGATTTTTTTCATCTGCTTCTATCCTAAAATAAGAACATCAAATCTGCCAGTTTATATAGACAAGTTATTCATAACTGTATCCTAGGATAGAAAGGGCGAAAAAATCTGAAATATTCACAGCAAATTATTTTCATTAAGGTCTGTCTCTATCCAAACTTTCAAGTCGAAATTCGAAAATCAGTTTTTCTGTATCCCTGAGGGGGACCACGGGATTTATTTAAAAATATTGTAAAAGTGCACTATCTCCGTAGCAATAAGCTAGCGGCTCGAACTGTTTTCAGGGTATTCATAACTCATTTGGGTCTACATAATGCACATAGTCTCGGCTCAAAAGTGATTGGACAGTTGGTGCCCTTCCCTCGTCAGTGTTTTGAATGTATTAGAGAAATTTCGTTCTCAAAAGCTGATATGAAAATATATTCAACTGTCGGATCTCGTTTGACTAAAAAAACCTTAAGTAAACTCGCATCTATAGCCTACATTCAAAGTGAACACAATAGGTTTTTAACCTAAGATTATTTCTTACTTATTCCATAACTATATATCTATGATTAGTGTATCGTTTACCTCTTTTTTTTTTATTCCTATTTAGATTATCGTACTCTCAGATCTAGTTATTGTCTCGTATCTACCTCTTCACTTCAAACATAACAGCATCCGACAGTAGGATTTGATTTCTCGTTATTCATCATAAAAACTTACCCAAATTCTTTAGCATATTCTACATCGAATTTTGGAATTTCTTCATAAATAAAACCTAATGTTTCATTTGGCTTTTTCAATCGTAAAAGTGATCTTGATTCATAAGTATTATTATTTTTATTTTCAATTCGTTGTTCCATCATACAAGCAAGAAATGTATCATGAAGACCACCCATTAATGCTTCTAATCCTCCAGTACGTGTCGGTCTAATTTGATTATCCATATTATGTATAGCTATTTGATTAAAAAATAAAAAAAAAAAAATAATCAAAAAAAAGTCAAGAATCATATTTACTTAAAAGTAATGAATAATCCATAATATTAAGTTTTTCTAAAAATTCTACATCATATGTAATTATATCTTTTAAATGATAATAAATATTTTTTGGAATTTTTAAACCTTGTGGATGTATATCACGAAAATCATTATCTTTAAATGTTGCTGATTTTTTTATACGTTCAGTAAAATTTGCATCACGTTTATAAGATGAACCTTTAAGATCATATTTTTCATGAATATCAATATTTGTTGGTATTATATTTGAAAATATAATAAAACGTAATGTAAATGAATCAATTGTAATACCTTTTTGAGATGATATATATGGAATATAACCATAAACACCAAATAATTTAGTAAGAAATGTATTTGGTCGTTTTTTAACATGTTCAAAATATGCATGAAGAAATTTTTGTTGAATAAATTTTGCATCATAATCACGTGCTGTTTTAATAAGATATGTTGATTTTGATGTTAAATAAAGTAATGAACCTGAACTAGATGGATTAACTATTTCTTTAAGTTCACCTTCACATATATGTCTTTTTAATATATCAAAATTAATACCATAGATATTCAGTAAATCATTAAATATATTAAGTCCATAAGCTTCAAAATCAAAATCCGATAAAGAATGAGATGGTGTATAACCACCAATAGCTGGAAATTTTTCTCGTTGTATATATGTAGATGATTCAGAAAATTTTTGATTATCTTGATCAAGAAAATAACCAATTCCTATGAATTTGAAGAAAAATTTTTAAGATTAACTATACTATAGTTTCACAAGAATCTCTAGGATATGAATAATCTAATATTTTTGAAATAATTTCATAAAAGTTAGGATTTATGTTGTATCAAATCAAGAAAAATATTTCATTAGATATATAAATTTTTTTTTATAATAATTAAAAAACAAAAAGGTTAACGAATTATGTGTACATACCAATTTGAAGTGCATGTCGAATATCTTCACTTCGTACAATACCAGATGAAAATAATGTTTGTAATAATTTTTGTTTAGCAAGTGCTCCTGTTGTATCAGTCATTGATGTAACATGTTCTTGAACTGTTGATATCCATGTATCACTTTTATCTTTAACAAGTTCAATTACACGCTGAGTTATTGGACGTTGTTCATGATTGTTAGTCAATGCTTGCATAGTGTTTGATATACGAGGATTTTCTAAAACACTAGTCAACTTATCTTTTATTGCTCGTCGCATGTCTTTTTTTTCTTCTTGGTTTGCTGATATCACTATGTTTCACATGCAGATCTTGCTAAATAATAAGTGTTTTTATTTCAACCCCTCTAAATGATTCATAAAAACTAGATGGTATACATTCTATGTGTGATGCGAGAATGACTATTTCGTGGGCATATCATCAAAACGGATGGAAGGAAGAAACAGAAAATGTATGTCAATTATTGGTTTTCTTTTTTTTGTCTTGTTCTGTCTGTCCGAATGATTCATATAAGTTTTTTCATGCAGATGAGGCATGAAATATTGGAGGTATTACTTAGACAACGAACGATGTAATGGCAAAAAAAAAGAAAAACGACCATAGAAATAAGTTAATATATAAAATAATCAAATATGACTACTAATGATGCAACTCGATTTTTTGATACATCAGGTTGTTTAAATTTATCTCGACCAACAAGTGGTATACGTATTGCATCAGCTAAACAACATAAACAAATTGTTACATCTTCAATACCAATACGAGGTCAAATTAAAATTGATTTATATAATTTTGATCATATTGATTATGCTAATTCAAAATATGTTTTAACAAGTCCACGTTCACTTGAAGCATGTGCTCGTCTTAATATTAAAGTAGAATTAAATTGTTTTTCTATTTATTTATAAAATATGATTAATTCTTTAGCCTACAACATTACTTCCAAAAAAATTAATTGATATATCATCTGATCAAGT